CTTGGGCATCCCCTTTCTCTCTTAGGGGAATTCCTCACCGTGACCGTAAGACCAGTCCGCCCACCGCCAGAAAAAGGACGCCCCGGCTGCCACCAGAGGGAACCCCAGATCTAGGCAGTGGCACGGGCACTCCGCCCCTTTGCAGGTAACGGAGTCTGGTCCGCAACTCCGAGATGGTCATACCCCCGCAATGGGAGCATGAGCCATCCACGAAAGCCACCTCAGCGTGCTTCATGCCCAGGCACGAGAGGCAGCGATCGTGACCATCACCCAGCGCCAGGTAACGACCGCATCCAGAACGCCCGGGTGATATGTTGTCTATAGCAAGACCCACATCGTCTTTATAAAGACGTAACGTCAAGTTTGCCAAGCAACGTCGTCTTTAAAAAGACGCACCCGAAATTGCTCTTTTAGGGAAAAAAGCTCTTTTAGCGTGCTGAGTTCTTGCGAAGACCGAAAGACATTCCATGGAAGTCCTACTATTTGTGTTCACTGTTTGAGTTCGTCACTCACAATTCTCCCCTTTCTTTTGTTTTTTTCTTTTCCTCCTACTGTTTGGAGTCATTTAGTGTTTGTCTGTTATCTTGAAGCATTTTAATAAGTTCAGACTTTTAGCAGACTCACTAGACTCTGCTTGAGTGATCTAGATTACGTAGAGTATGCCTGGAAGTCTCACCTAAAGCCTTATTTTAGATTTAGTTTTGTCTGTATGTGACTGTATAAATCTATTTAGAAGAAGAACAAAACATGTAACATAAAATACCACATGAGAAGAGCTGATTTAAATTGCCTAGGGGCCATCAAAGACCAGCAAATCACTGGTATACGCTTTTTTTTCAGTGTAAACCATATGAAATGCTTAGCACAGTATGTATCAGATGGTCACAGTGATACCTCTTTTAGTTGAACATAGTATAAATCAATTGTGCATTGTTCTTACGACAGCAGCAGTGGGCATGAATATAATTTTAGTCAGAGATGATTTCCTGTGTGAATGACTGCAGACAGACTTCCAGACGCTGCTACTGAATGTTTGTCAAAGCCGAGATTGAATTTAGCTTCGTGAATCATTTTATCCATAATTTATAAGGCAGAGATAAATGCCATCGAGACCTTGTGCTGACTGTGGCTTAATATTCTTCTGTCTCAGATTAGTTGTATACATCCCAGCCAGGTCCTGACTCACTCGTGTAGGACGACTAACATAGTTTGAATGGTAAAATTTAAATGCACTGGTTAATAAGCTGGAATAGTGTTTAGGTTTACGGAAATAAAAATCCTATTCATTTTGTTCAGAGAGAAAATAATTATTAGTGATAGCATATAAACTTGAGCTACCATGAGGTTGTTAAAGTGGTAATTCACCATTTTCAGAATGGGCTTTTAATAAAACATGCAGTTTATACAGTAGAAACGCCAAACAAATAAAAATGGTGCGACATGACTACAGAATATGGAGAAAAAGGGCTGTG